TCTTAGACATTTTAAGATAAACAAATGAAATTCTGGGGATTTTTTTAGCAGTAATTAAGTGAAGAACTGTGTGTTCCCACTGATTTCTGACTTTGCTTGACTTGAGGTATCTTGCCGTAGACCACTGTTCATTCGGCTCGTTGAGCAGATCGATAATAGTAATACTAATAACACGAACATAAAAATAGTGAAAAAAAATACAGCTTACAGTCTTACATCGATAATTAATCGAAAACTCTATTTACAATCATGTGAGCTTTGCCTTTGATAACGCAAGGATATGGCAGATATACAGGTATATTTATTCCACGTGCCCACGACGCAGAATATGACACAAGGAAGGTTGAGATTAATGTGGGATTTCTCAGTTAAAATTTCCAAATATTGATTACGTCCTCTCAGCACCTCCTCTTTTGGGGACCCTTCAGGTGCCGGGTAATAATTTAGAAAACACACACACACACACACACACACACACACAGAGAGAGAGAGAGAGAGAGAGAGAGAGAGACTTCTTCTTTGTAGTATGTTGTCGTTCTGATTATTTCTTTGCTGGTGTGAGGAGTGAACCAGCCTGTCCCGCTTTCTGGCGAAAGGGTAGAGAGGACTGTTTCCTGTGTTTTCATTCAAACTGAGGTCGGCAATTGGTCGGGGAATGTGGTAGAATTGTCCTTCGCTTTGGTACAGGGTCATTGATCTTTTGTTTCACTTACCTAAATACCTGGTTTCAAAAATGAAGTTAGCTGATTGATGTGACCTTAATAATGCCGTTGTTAATGCGTTGGATATCGGCTCGAATTGAGGAATAGTTCAAAATCTAGTCGAATCCATTACATTCACTTACGTGCTAATACCCTTGAGAAAGGTATGAATCCACTTCTTCTCTCCCCCCACCAGCTACATGTAAATAGCAGGACAGCCCGGGTTCTATAACTTTCTATATACCGCAGAAAGAAATGGCAACCTACTGCGTGCAAAGATATCTGCCTCGTCAGTCATGTATCGAAAGATACATGATCGCCTAAGCGTATATCACGCGTGGTTCATAACTGACTGACTGCTAATGAGGTATCAAGAAGTATGTGATAATTTTCAGGGGGATATAATAAATATTTGAATTATGTTTTACTTATTAAACCTTGCCTACTACCACAAGGGATTATATTTTATTGCGTATGTAGAAGATAGTATAAATAAATAAAATCTGCCGTTTATTGAATACGGATGCCGATCATGGAGAAGTTCCTTATTTAGCTTCCGACGGGCCGAAGGCTGTAAACAAGGAATGTAAGCCGCGCTTTTGAGCGGTGCTAGTTTTATTTTCCGCGCTAATTGATAGAATTCTACCAGTGCTCTGTCCCCAAGCTAATCATCTTCACTATGCGCTTATCAATTGTGCGCTCCCTACGATAATAAGGTATAAAAAAAGTCACTAAACTAGATGAAAGATCACCGTTTTATGGCAAGCGTCCTCATCGCCTTTAATCTACTGTGTGTGAGATCGTTCCTCTTTGCCAGTTGACTTTGTTTAACATTGCTAGGTAACGTTGTATTCAGGACATTTTTTCTTATAGAATGCGGTAGACAAAATATTGTCCAATATTCGCCGAGAAAGAAGACTTCTTAATTTCACCAAACTACGCGCACGTTCTCTCACGCACAATATCGTAAATACCATAAATGATTTATTTCCTTTTTCTCAATTGTCCACACAAGTATACCTTTTCTCTTTTGAGTCATATTTGATCATATATATATATATATATATATATATATATATATATATATATATATATATATATATATAGGAGGGCACGGTGGAGTAATGGATAGCGGCTTGGATTGAGGATTCCAGTCGAATCCATTAGATTCACTTACGTGCTAATACCCTTGGGAAAGGTATGAATCCTCTTCTTCTCCCTCCAGCTATGGGTAAATAGCAGGACAGACTGGGTTCTATAGCCTTGGATGGCATCTGTCTAGGAGAAGGACAACTCTGAATTCAAAACCTGCGGAGGGTCGTTTGGGGACTTTGTGGCACGTAGTGCACCAGGTCTCTGTATTCGGCCATTCAAAAAGTGTGGATGGTCCTGCACGAAACCTTCATCACTATAATCAAATCTCATGTGCTGTTGTAGGTTTCCTAAGAACTGATCTGCTTGAACCTCATACGTCGAATTCGTTGGAATATATATATATATATATATATATATATATGATAATCAAAGGCCGCTACATCTCAAACCAGACCTAAAAAATTTTGTTTGAGAAACCTGGCCTCCTAGCATATCGTAGACCTTAAAGTAATTATAGGTAGTAACCAAATTTCAGATGATAAGGTAGTCCGTAATAGATTAAAATAAAAACAACAGGATTTGTAACAAAAAAAGGAACTTATGTTGTAGCCACATTAGACACACCAATTCGTTCACTAGATCAGTCACCCGATAAATCAAACTTTACCCACATTTCTCACCCACACAAGACAGTGACGCTTGCGGAGGTGTTGAGGTCCCACAATTATACACACACCCATGCTAATATATACACGTATACACTTCATACACACTCCTAAAGAACTAAAAGATAACATACACTTGACACACATACAACCCCTTCCCAGCAACCAATAAAACTGTCAAAATGACCAAGAATGGAATTCTGAATCTCCCCAGCCTCTATCTTAAAAACAACTTAAAAGAGGCCGTTTGACCAACACAAGGACTCACCAAAATTAACGATAAAAAACAAATGAAAACTACAGATAAAGTTCATTTTCTTCAGATAGTCATCCATTCCTGTAGTTCACTGCTATTAACAAGCAGGAATTTTTCTCTTGATGATGGCCATGCTGGCCGAAACTAGTGGAGGAAATTAACTGAAATAATAAAACAAAAAATATTAGTATACATATCAGTGTGTTTGAAAATTTTAATTTTTTAATATTTTTTATTTTGAAAACTTATATATATATATATATATATATATATATATAGAGAGAGAGAGAGAGAGAGAGAGAGCCTTGTGCTACATCTAAGCTACGCATAGAAATTCAGTATATATATATATATATATATATATATATATATATATATATATATATATATATATAAAATACTGAATTCATTCATTTTGAAAGTTTTCAATCCTTGCCATTACAATTTTAACACTCTTCCGCTACAAACTCGTAAATCCCGCCGTGATATGAACACTCAAATAGAGTTGTAGATTTAGTTGTAGATGTTCATCTAAGTCATCCTTCTCGTCTATTTGGAATCGCTACTCAGTCCATATGCTATAAATATCTATTACTGATAAAAATCTACAATTTAAGTAAATAGTTCGTTTTAAATACTTCTAATAAAAAGTAAAATCAATGTCTGGTTAATGTCATGTCGAAAAAGTGCGATTTAGTATAATGAGGTAACAGCGGGCTTACCGTTAACAATAAAAGTAGGCGGAAGTGATAAAACAACAAATGGCGATAAGACGTGGTTGAAATATGTAAAAGGATTTTTATTTCTCATGATCTGCAACGGTCGATCATTTGATCGTTTGTGGGTATCGTAGGAAACTGAAAGTTTTTTTCGGGGTTTGACACAAGGTAGTAATCATGATAGAAACGTAGAGAAAAAAAAACGCGCATCTAGTCGAGTGATATAGACTCGTGGGTGGGGGGAATATTCAACCAATTATAGCGTTGTAGCAGCCGAGCTATGGATAAATAGCAAGACCGGCCGGGTTCTATAGCCTTGGATGGCAACTGGTCTACCGCAGAAAGAAATGGGAACCTACTGCAGGAAAAAAAAATTTGCCTCGTCAGTCATGTATCAAAAGATACATGATCGTCTAAGCGTTTATCACGCATAGCACATAATTGACCGAGTAGACGAGGGTGAATCTCTGCTGCTGCTGCTGCTGCTGCTGGTATCGTCGCTAACCGGTCATCGCCGATTGTAAGTACGACTTGGTGTCGCTGGTGATGGCCTGGGTAAGCTTGCCCGCTGCGGATCCGTCGCTAATACCAGCCGAGTCGGATCTGCCTCTGTGCGTGGAACGACGTTGGTTTTATAAGTCAGTCAGTGACTCAGAAACGGCAGCTATGAAAACTGCATGAGCCTGGTCAGAAAATATATGTTATGACCGTGGTATTTTGGGACGGTATTCCTGAAGTGAATTTACTGAGTCCGACGAAATTAATGTCTGTTTTTTTTTTGTTTTTTTTTTTTTGTCATATGAGCCATGGATGCCGAAGTGAGCATTTCCGTCTAAGTTCAAGGGTACGATAATAATTTGCAATTTAGAAAATTGAACTTTCGAGGTAAGTTCGAATGACTGTTGCGAGTACTAGTTTTATCATCACCTTACACAATAAAATTATCATGTATTTTCTTCCATAATCTTGACTACGGTCTTGTCACTCGTTACGATGGTAACGCATAAAAGAGTCATGAAGTAAACATTTTTTCTATAATTACTTTTGTGACTCAAACGAACACTCGCTGACACTTCTGTAATGTCAACGAATACTCGTTGTCACTTTCGTAATGATCGTTGTAATAGAGACTTTGTAATCGCAGATACAACTATAGTAACACCGTTGAACAATACTAGTCTCTAATGCCTTTGCGTAACACTCGCACTAATAGTACTCGCTGGATAATACGCGCTCGAATAGTAATCGATATAGTGAAATAGTATAGAGAATAGCGGTTCTTATAGTGATAGAAGATAGAGTAGAAATAGCGATCCGGATAGTAATAGAGGATAGAGTAGATATGATGATCCGAATAGAGGATTGACTAGAAATAGCGATTGTTATTAGTCACGAAACTTTTTACTTTTATGAGTTTCCTCTATGGAAACGTGATTCACATAATTCAATAATAGGATATCCTGTGTTTACTGACTGGCGATCTATGTTCAAACTCAAGTGTCAGCTCTCCGAAAAAACAATTCCGAGTTGTTATCCATTACGCCATTCGCACATTCAAGCCTAGAATACCTGTTGCTCCCAAGCGGTCATCCATCTAGTTACTGACCAGTCTCAACGTTGCTTAACTTCGGTGATCGCACGGGAACCGGTGTTACAACGTGATATGGCCGTATGCCCGTTAGCTGCTAGAGATTATCTAGAAAGGCGTTTAAAAAATATGACATCGTCATTATAGCTTCAGAAAAAGAATTTAATTGGCTGATGGCGGAACGATCGAAACACTACCCCCACCCCCGACAAAAAAAACCGCTAAAACGAAAATACCGTTTAAGATAACACGAAGAATAGGTAGCACATATCTACCAAGATGAAGATTTGTACTTAATTAACACAAGCGGGATTATCTGGCCCGAAACTTTTATTGAAGTCAGAAAGACATTACTTACGATTCATCACGTAGCATTCGAATAATATATGGTACAAAAGGATGTAGGCGATCATGCCTCTCCACAATTTCCAGTCTTTTGTAGCTTCTTAGTAATGTTTGCCTCTTTTCTGTTTCGCCTAATCCGTTCTGCCAACTACACAAGCTTGTTAAGTAGATTATTTGCTGTTTTCTTTTGCTCCTCTTGCCTTTAATCTGTCCTATGCGTGTCAAATTTTCCAAGCCCTCTTTCCCCATTATGTGCCCTAGAAATTTCAACAGCTGCTTTCTGATTCTAAGTATCTTATTTGTTGCTCTTTTCTCTAAACCTTGTCGTTGCTCACATATTCAGTCCATGCTATTCTCAGTATCCTTCTGTAGAGCCACATTTTAGTTGTCTCACGTCTCTTTTTCATCGACAAGGAGATTGCCCAACATTCACTGTCATGTAGGAGGGCCAATATTTCATAACAGTTCAGTACATTTTTCTTTGTTTCTCACAAAATTTTCCTGTTTCTTAATACTTTGCTTAGCTTTTGGAAGGCATCTTTCTCTGTCGCAGATTTACCTTTGGATTTCGGTGTCACATTTTTCGTCCTCTGTTAAAATGCTTCCTAGATATTTAAATTTGTGTACTTGTTTGATTTTAGTTTCTCTAATAGAATTTGTAAATACATGAACCCTGATAAATAAAAATCCTAACGGATCCTCTTATACATTACAAAATAACCACCAACAAATACGCACCAGAGAAATTATTACCGACCCACAAAACGAAATTCGACATCGGCTCGATATTAAAAAAAAAAAAAACATTAAAAATAAAAATTGTTTTCCAGCCAATAAAAAGCTTAAAAAATTAAACACACTCTTTTCTCTGCGTAACATTTATTGAAGTTGATGTTATAAGATAGAAGGATACTTAATGGCGGAGATAGGCACAAAGTTAACGAGATCGTCTATCAAGTAACGGTGTTTTGCCTGACCCTATACACTGCAACAGTAATAAGAGACTTGGCATCAAAAGAAACCGTTTTAAATTACATCTGATTGACTGATTTGTTTGTTTAACAGCATATCAACTCCTTATGGGTCATTTTAATCTTTGAAGTAATAAAAATATGTTATTCTGTTTTCGCAATTGAATACATGGTAGATGATACTCAGCTTTTGTGCATATACATCTTTGTGTGGACATAATTACTAGAGGCAGTGATATGCGTTTTATGTAGCAGTTTTTTTGAAGTTATATTTTGGAATACAGATTGATTTCTTAAAAGAAATTGTCGAATATTATACCATAAAAGAGTTCTTTGATGTTGGTTGTTTGGTTAATTTTTTATTGGCATCTCAACCTCTATGGGTTATTTAATACCGAAAATCTAAATATTTAGAACACAATTTTATGGCTTCAATTAAATATATTTTGAACGCAATTATATTCCTTCAACTACAGATAAAATGTATTGTTGGTCATTTTACTTGTTGGTAATTTATATAAAAATATATATTATTTACATTATTCGGACTATTGTCCTAATCTTTGTCGTCATACGACGCTTCGGTCGTTGTACGCTTCGGCGTTCTTCAGGTAGCTCTTTATTGTTCTAGTTCTACGTGCCATGTTTAATGGATGTCAGTTATCAGTTATTTCCTGTTAATTTCCCTTTGTAAGTTCCCCACTACCTTAACCGGAAATTGAACTCACACACTCTGGGGTATAACTAACGCCTTTATCCACTGTACCATGTGTTCTTGAGGACATCTGTCTAGGAACTGCTGGGTATTATAAACCTAATGTCTTCAGCAATCATATTTTTACCAGTGCTCATATTACAATTTTTGCTGTTATCATTGCATTTTTTTTTTTACCAGAGCTCATATTGTTGTTATTATCGCTTTTCTCTGGCACTCCTTATTACTGGTTCCCATATTTAGGAGGGGAGGGGGTCACTATTTATCCATAGCTGGAACACTAACAGGTCTACCAGCCCGGGCCAGGATGAACCTGGGAACAACAGCAATTAGGAGGTAGTTCCACGCTTCGGAAAACATTCAATTTCCTGATCGGAAGACTTTCTACCAGATGTAGTTTATCGTCATACCCAGGACTAAAATTACAGCTGGTAATTGTAAGAGAAAACATTTTTTTCAATTCCATTTTGTTCTTTCTCTTTTCTTTTTATTACTTTCAAATTGAAATTTGTAAGTCGAATTAATAGACATACATTTCCTTCTTTGACTGCAAAAAGAAAGGTACTCTAACAAACAAAATTTAATACATTTCTTTTTATTTCAAAATCGACAGAGAATAATGTATGCAGAAAATAAATTTCTTATTTGTTATATGTCGATGTAACGTTTTTTTTTTCTGTTTTTGCCATCCAACTACAAATATCCGAATGTCTCAACTCAATAAGGCCTACTTCACAAACGTAGAAGTCTTAAGCCTAGCGTCCCGCTAAAAAGATAACGTATAAATGAATTAGTATTCGGTAGATTTTTTTTTAATTAATTAGCAGCTATACCCAGCTGGACGATCAGAAAAAGCGTTCAATTAGAATGGAGCAAAAACAGCATCATTTTTAGACGTAACAGAGTCTATCTTCTTCAATTACTATAAAGTACGTTTATTTTAAAAAATATTTTGAATTAATGCAGTTACTGATACAACATATGTAGTTTGTATTTATTCAATCGAAGTTAGCTGAGGACATGAAAGAGTAAAACAGGTAACATGAAGACCCACTTCAGACCACAATTATTTTAGAGTTTTTGAAATTCAATTTGTCAGTTTGCTACCAGGGATGTAAAAGAGGATACATTTATAAAGCAATTGTTAAGTTTGATGAAAATTGGTTGAAAGATCAACGAAAAATACGAAAGAAACCAGTAAAAATCACCATTTTTCGCTATTTACGTCGGTTTTCACTATATGGGTGGACTCAATTATCAAGTTAAATGACTGTTAAACAATCAACTTATTGTTGGCTATAATTGAGTGAAGTTTGTATTAGATTGCTTGAAAATTGAGGGAGTTTTTAGTTTAAAATTTGTGTTGAAATCGAATTTTCGTTTTTCACGATTTTTTGCTAAATGCAGCAGCGTAGAAATAAAAATGAGGTATCATTGAGCTCATCATAATGTAAGTAACCTACATACCGAGTTTGAACGAAGAAAGTAGGAAAAAAGTTGAATTTATCGATGTTTGATCGGCTTTATCGATTATCGATTTTTTTTTAAATTATCGATTTTTATGCTAAGACCCTATCTATTACATTGTACATTGGTCAAAATCGGTTGGATGGATCTCTAGTGCAAAGATATCACACAGACAGGCAGACATCCTCTGTTTTATATAGAGATTACGTACACAGAAACATGATTGCAAAATGCGTTGTCGCTGTTCTCTCACTTATCCTCTAATATATTTAGTAAATATTCGCAATACAATAATGAAACCAGAAAGACGTGAATTTGTCATAAGACGCGCTTATAATTCTTTTTATACGGAAGTTCAAAAAGGAATATTGTAAATTACCCACCTTGAATGATTATGACATGATATTAATCTAATATCAGTTTAATATCTATCGTTCATAATCAGTTTTGCTTTTTTTCAATCACTCTATACGCGTGTGAGGAGGCACGGTGGAGTAAGGGATAGCGGTTTGGATTGAGGAATCGGAGAGCCGAGTTCGAATTCCAGTCGAATCCATTACATTCACTTACGTTGCAAATACTCTTGGGATAGGTGTGAATCCTCTTCTCCCTCCAGCTATGTGTAAATAGCAGGTCAGACTGGGTTCTATAGCTTTGGATGGCAACTGGTCTAGGAGAAGGACAACTCTGAATTCAAACCTGGAGTGGAGCCCCTAAGGCAGATGGACGGCACTTTGTGCTACCTTCCGGCAACTCCTGCAGCCGCGCTGGTACAAAACTGTATTGGTTTATCCTCTCCTTTGGACTCTGCTAGCAAGGCCGAGAGTGGGAACTAGACGTCCGGGCAGCCCTAGTGCTCTATATATCCGGCCCATGCTCGTAGCGCACCGCGCTACACCATCGTCTCTCGAGACGGACGGATGCCGCCGACTATACGCGTGTATTTTTTCCAGTGTCTGTATTTCCCTGTTTCTTGATTATTTCTTTCTTTATTATTATTATTAATTTTTTTTTAATCTTATGGTAGCATTTTTAATGTTTTGACAACGCATGATGTTTGGAGGTGTCTATAATTTTTATCTGGTAGATAAGATTTCTAAATTACATCCATTTTATTAGCTATGCGAATTTTCTCAAGCTGAGATTCTTTTGAGCTACTGTAGAGGCGGTGCTAATGTACGGTGCCACTGACTGGACATTGACTAAAACTCTAGAGTCCAAGCTTAATGGTGCCTACACTCAGATGCTGAAAGCTATACTTAACATTCTTGGCGACAACATCCGACTAAATCACAACCCTATGGTCCCATCCCTGACATTTCTACAATCTTACGCGAACGCAGAATGCTCTTTGCTGGCGAGCAAAACAAGAATTATGAAGTGAGTTATTATTCTGGACACCTAGCCATGGAGCAAGACGAGTTGGTCGCCTAGTAACCATCTACATTGACCAGCTATGTTATGAAACAGAATGCCACCTTAGTGACCTTCCGATCTTCATGCAGGACCGTGAAGGTTGGCGGGATAGACTCGTGAATGTCCAAGCTATCTCGACCGAATAAAATAATAAATAATTTTTATGACAAC